AGGGAATATAACAATATAATAACTTCCCAAGGTAATGCAAGAAGACATTCACCCTTGCTCTTCCTCTTAGCCTAGACAGGACTTTACTATAGCTTGAGGACAACACAATTTGGCATATAGGGGTTTTCAAAAATCTTTTTAAACTTTGCCCTTGTGTGCAGGCAAATCTTATATACAAAAAAAACTTCTTAAAGGTATCTTCTGGAAAAGCAAATAAAAACAATTAAAAATAAAAATTATAATAAAAAAAATTCTTTGTGTCTGTAAATCGAGCACAAGGATACTGTTCACGTATCAAATATAACCGTGGGTGACACTGCTCAGAAACTGACAAGCAAAAGCATCTCTTGGGGAATTACAATTGAGCTGGAACATGGAGAAAACATTATGGTTTATAAAAAGAGCTTCACAACAAAGAACACAATTTACAGAGGATATTTTTACAGGTAGAGAGAAAAATAAAATGGGTGTTCTACACATGCAGCATTAAGTCATCTTTGTATTTAGATCTTCCGCTGTGTGTGTTAGTTCACTCATGCAGACAGGAACAAGCTCTGGTTCTTGCAGAAGCTAAGGATCTGATTCAACTGTTTCAAACTAGATGTTTATTGGAGTACCTATTGAGTAAGACTGGGCAAATTCAGCTTGTGGACACATTTAAGTAAATGATGCTTTACAGGACTGAACCACGGGTGAGAATATCCCTGACACAATGACACTTAGCCAGTCATCCAGGCACAGAGGCAGCAGTACCTTGCTGTCAGCCTGCCAGAAACAAGTAAGTATCTTCCATAACAAACCATGACAGTAAGACACATTCAGCATGGTCAACCAGATTCTCCTACACTTGCCAAAATCTAATTGTCTCCACCTCAAATCAGTAAGTATTATAAAGTCAATACTGCAAGTCTGGCATCGAGTTTGTGTCTTCATGCACATTCTCACCCTTCGCACGTGTTCAGAAAAAGACACTGACTTCTAATACCCAAACAGCTTTGAAAGCTGTTGCAGCAAGTTACAATGTTAAGTTGCCTTACAACTAAAGCATATGTTTGAGGTGGACAAAATCAAGAAAGACATTGAACAGCTGTAATTCTTTTACTCCAGAAGTAGATTTAGGATTACAACGGATTATTGAGGTTTAACATCTTGTGTTCTAGGCTTTAAGTCTTCTTTGAAGAGCAACCTTTAACCAATTTGATTTCTATTGTATTTCCTGTTATGCTCATAGATCTTCCCACCTGTAATTAGCCACAGATTTCAACTAGCTTGTACCAGTGGATATATAACACTTCCAGTCTCAGCAGTGAGACATCGTCCAGTAACGTTGGTGGTAAAGCTTCTTTTAACAAAAAATATTTTAATGAGAACTAAAAAAACCCCAAGTACTATGTCCATACATTATAGAAACCCAGTTTAAGACAGATTAACCTCCAAGGTGTGTAGATTTGTGTTGTTTCTCTGGAAATAATTCCAAAAATGAACAAAATCTGTTTCTTCAATAAACAATATTTAAAGAGAGATGCAAATTATTCAACTGTCTCCTTTTCAGCCACATGACACTACAGTGCTTTAAATCGGGTACTTTAGAGTTATCATGGATTACAGCCACAAAAAAATACAAATTGAGTACCAGGAGTTTTATCCAAGGTCATCCATGAAGCCTGAATCAGAAAAAACACTGAACACAATCTCCCAGGCCAAAGGCTTAACTCTCATGATTTAAACTGAAGGCACTGCATATAATTCAGAGATGGTATTTGGACAAATATTTGATGAGACATTAGGCTACGCTCATCATGCTTTTGCCCCTGCAACATCCAGGGGGAACTAAATTGTGTTTCTAAAATGGCTTAATCCCAAGGAACTCCTGGAGAAGAAGTAATTTTCTACATCTCTACTTGCATTCACAATATTTATCTCTTATCTCTATGCTCAGAGCGAGCATGCTTTTTCCAGAAGCTGACAAACCCATGTACCTGTGAAGAGATCACAAGAACAATAGTGTCCTCTGTATGCATTATAATTTATTTTTATGGCACTATATAATAATAAAAGCAGTATCAGCAGTTAGCCAACCCTGCAAATTCATAAGCACAAAAGCACTAGTAGTACTACACAGCTCCCATTACACATTTTCTAAAACTCTTGCTATTGTCATTCTAAAATAGCACAAAAAACCCCACTACAGATGTATCTTTTAACAAGGGAAGTAGATTAATGATAGGGAATATTATCCATATTTTATTATTCTTTTTTTAACAAAAATATTCAATTGCAAATAAATAAAGGGACTAAAGTGGACCTAAATTGAATGCTATGGCCTGGTTATGTTAATAGATTTTAGTAGATAGTCAGTTAGTGTGCAGAGCAATACAGATTAAAGCAAAGTGCAGGGACTTGGGAAACCTTTATGCTTACAGAGGAACCTGTGGCATTTTCTTGGAGCCTTGAGGCATAGGCAGCCACCAAGCAAGCGTTTCCACGATAATATTTCAGGGCTTAGCCAGGCTCATAAGTGTCTAAGTCGTATTTTAAATGCCCAAGTCATTTTCTGGATTTAGCTTTTCAAGACTGAAGCAATGTCCAAGCACTTCAGCTGAAGCTGGATCAGACCATAGAGGAGCAGGTTCAACCTGGCCAGGAATACTAAGTTAGAGTCACCTGATGTCAGAGGCAGGATGCAGGATGGAAAATGCCAGAGGAAGAATAAGCTAAAAATTGTTTCTAATTTGACAGGTACTACAGGGTAGGCTATACTGCAGCTCGAATCTGACAGGAAGAACTACAATTCAGCAAACATTCATTCCAAGTACATCACAGAATTGACATATTTGGGGTGGATTGTTTTAGAAGACTTTCTTAAGGGGAAAAAAAAAAAAGTCTCTTCTCTCCTCTCTGCTTTTATGAGTTTGACTTATACCATCCTCTTAGCAGATGTCTCCAAGGGATTGTCATGTATAACTGTTGTTTGCATTATTATTATTCTAGGGTGAGATTCTTTGCAGTTGATAAGCAGTCTCAGTGTAACTCAAAGAGTTTACAATCTGACAGTGAAGATCACAGCAACTTTGAGGGGAAAACAATCAGGGAATAAAACCAAGAAATACTTGTCAGTGCATGATAAGCAGTTTTCCTAGTGTTCCAGCAGCCCAACCAATATCAACCTGTGTGTGATAGACTAGCGTGACTTTTTGTGTTCACAAGGAAGTTTTGAAGGTGGTATTGTTTTCATTTTGTCAGTTTTTATTAGAAGGAACTCATAAGAATAATGGGTATCATTGAACATATATGCAGATTTCTGAGTGTAGTGCACATGCAGTATAACCAGCATCTTGGTCTCACTGAACAGGAGTATAGAAGTCAGTTAGGATAAGCTATGAAGAGTTTTAAAAATTAATTTAAGAGTTAAAGGATACTATCCTGTAGTCAAATGAAAGACTTAGGAAAATTAATGTCTACTGAATACACAGGAGTGGGGCAGGAATATACTTAAGAGCTTTAGTTAGGAAATATTCCATCTAAGCATTATTACAAAGGAGGAATAGAGAAGACATGGACATAACTCTTTAGTTCTTAAGCTACTTGCACTGAGGAAGATATTCAGGTTACAAGCTCAGTAGACATGATGATGGTATTTTCCACGGTGGTCAAAACCAAGATACTCAAAAGGAGAGACAGGGCAGATTAAGATGTCTAGTGCGGCTACACTTCACTCGATAATCTGAAGAGAGGTGTTAGGGAGAGACCAAGTTTATTAGCATGAAAAAGAGAAAACAGATCTGTGAGATATCCATTTGTATTTGTAAATGGGTGTGTGTATATTCCTGAATAGAGAGAGAAAATAAGGACCAAGAAGAAGACCAGAGGCAGGTGAGAAAGGTGCTTAGAAGAGCATGCCAAACAAATAACTAGGGAAATGAGAGAAGGAATCATTGAAATAAAAAATATTTTGTTTTAAAAATAAATATTTTATTACTGGAGGTGATTAATGAAGTACATTATATAAGGAGTGAAGAACACCTAATGTTAGCTGCAAATTTCCTCTTATAATATAAATTTTGGTATATTAAAAAAAAAAAAAGGATTCTGATGCTTTGGAAAGGACAGAGATATAGTTTGGCAGCAGGAAACATTTTCCACAACAAATACTGTGACCACAGGTTTCATTTTAGTGAAGAAGCTAGTAAAACACAAACCTGTGGAGGTTTTGTTTCAAAAACTATTTCCAGAAATACACTTTTCTGTGACTTTTGTTCCTTGTTCAGTTATAAACAAGAGAACTTGATCTTTACAATACTATTAAAAATCTTTAAGGATACAAACCTTAAGCCTGGATCTCCTCAGATATCCGTAGCTGGAACAACAGAATTCACTCACCCAAAATCAGACTGGATGTCACAGGCAAGGGTTCAAGAGCATGAGATCCAAATTCATTTCTACACAGTGCTCCAATTTTTAACCTTCCTTTTGACCAAAAATCTTAATTTTCACAAGTAATGAAGCTCCATGAGCTTAGCTTTAACCCTCCAGAAACAGCACAGCTACTATTTTTAGGTTTAGCAACTCACTGACATGCAGCAAATCTGCACAAGACAATGCTGTTGTCCAAAATGAAAATGCAGTAAGGACTAATTTTCTTTTCCATCTTTATTCCCTTCTCAGGTACTTTCATGGTCCTTCAATGGTGCTGCCCAGCTGTACCAAAAACAGCTTGCCAAAGACTAACTTTCAAATACCTTGACAGTAGTGGTTTGCACATTGCTCATCCTGGTGGGGCCGGAGACGTGCCGTTCCACTGCTCTCCTGGATTCTTTCACAGTTACCAGAATAAAAGAGTAGGAAGTCACAATTACACTGCAAGGGAAAATAAAACAGAAAACAAAGAGGACTAATGTGTAAGACATGGCCATGGCATTTACATTGGTGGAATGCCAGTCAATGCAGCAGGCTGTGCCATATGGCTCTGCTCAGTATTCTCCCCAGTGAGCTAAGGGAGAACAGGCAAAAACTGCTGAGTACGTCCAAGCACAGGCTATCAAGATTTGTCCATGTTCTCTCTTGAACCTGTTCCCTGGAGGACACAAAATAATCAGAAGATCAGCATTGCTGACGTGTCTGAATGGAGTTTCCCATATGCAGGCAGCTAAGCAGGGTAAGTAAGGAGGATAACTTTACTAAGTATTCAAAATATTGTAGCATATTGAAGGTTTGTAAGAAAAGGGCATGGTTTGTAAAAATTTGCAAAACGTCAGGTAGCTGAATTTGCTGATACATCTGGAATACTTAGCACAGAATAAATCCTTATGAATAAATATCAAAACGTAGCAATAAACTCTGAAAAAGTTTACTCAGGCTAGCCTTGCTTTCAGATCAGAACTCTTATTCCATGTTTCCAAATTATCACTTGACTTAAAAGAGCTTATAAGTAATCAGTTGCATACACCTAGCCCTATGGTTGCTTATCAATGATCACAGAAATAAGAATTGTTTGACAGCATGTAAGAAAATCTCTTCTATAAAAGTACTCTATAGGATATGCAATCCAAAACTGGTGATCTATATTTGCATGAAAAATCGAGTAACTTCAGACAGAAACATTAGCTTACCATAAGCTGGATAACAAATTTTGAGGCAGCAAACAGTGCTCAGTAATGTCAGTGTAGAGAGAATGCAGATCCCAAACAACACCCCACAAAATGGATAGAACAAACAAATGTGTTTCCCATACAGGCACCTGGCAAAAAAACAAGAAAGTTAATTCTTATATGCAATCCTTCTTTCTTAAATGTAATACTAAACAGTAGAAATAGAGTTGTAGCCTTAAAAATTCAGTAAAACTGCATGATTAAATTGTATTTTGGTCAATGATCAACTACGAAAGATATGCTCATTTGAAAAACAGCCAGTAAAGTAATCACGATCTGCTTTATTTTTATGATTCACATTTAAGCTAGTTTTATAAAACAAAGAAGTTTATCTTAGTAAGAATCATTCTAAAAAGAAAAATAAAAGTCTCTTTCATTAGTAGTCCTAGGTCATGAATTAATACCAAAATATTACCAATACCATCCTATCCCAAACCCTGCAGAACAACTCCTGACAACCAGTTCTGATCTTCCTTCGTCTTTCCTATTTCTCTTTTCTCAAACACTTTCATACTGCCTGCATTACATAAATACCATCTAAGGTCTATTAATGAGATCTTAAGCCTCCCACATTTTAAAAGAAGATCACAACAAATAGATCCTGCACAATGATATAAAGCTGAATTCATGTGGATAAAGAGGAGAGAGAAGGGAAGGAAGGAAGAAGTTCCAAATTCAAATAGTTTCCCCAAAAATTAATCCAGAACAGTACATTTCTATGCATCATCACTACCACTACTTTTAGACATCATGAGTAAATTCAGGATTTTCTTTTTATGGTACTAAATTTCACTGTCCAGTTTTTAAAAAAATGAAGCATTTGATCATCACTTCAGTAATACTACCCACAAAGGATAAATGCAGTAAGAAGTGGATGTTTGGAACAAAATCCTTTCCATCCTGCAGAAATCAGAAATACAGTAACCTCAAATAGACATGAACATTAATTAACACCAGCAGTCCATAAAGCTGCTGTTACAGAGCATTCTGCTTTCAATCTGTATAATTAATTCCCACTTTTATGACAAGCAAAGTGGCAGAGTAATTCAGTCTTCATGGCTGACACAAACCTCCAAAGCCTGCAGAGGATGTTAAATGTCACGCGCATAGTGAACAAACCTGTGTGAAAGGCTGGAGGTTACAGCTAGAGGGTACAATGTCAGAGTCATACCAAGGTCGCTGATGGCAAGATTAGTAATTAAGTATTCTGCTGGTTTCAATAAATTTTTCTTCTTGTAGGAACATACAGGAGAATACTGTTCCCGCACACGGAGCATATTCCTTCAGAGAAAGACAGAATGTGAAGAAAAAATTACTTTCAGCTATTCTTTTTTTTCCCCTGCTCAAAATAATGTGCTGTTATCGTAGCTAGCATTCATCAGATAAACTTGTCTGTCTCTCATATTTGCAGTTTTCTCTTCTTTATATTAAACATTTAATTTAAAAAAAAAATCTAAAAAGAAAAAAATTCAGTCATTTTTCATCATTTCTTCCTGTTTTTTCCACCAAACTGTGCACAGAGATCTAATTAATAATTTTATCTATTAAATTAACTGACCTGCCAAAAAACATTTTTCCTGTGGGAAGCTGGCATTAATTAAGCCAAAGACAATATACAGCTGGATACTGCACACATTTTCCCTGTTCCACATCTAGAGTTCTCCATTCACTAATCCTTCTTCCTTTCTCTTTGAGACATTTTCTCAGAGGAGCCTGTTACGGTTCCTAGTAGTAATAGGCAATATAACAAGAATATTGAATTATGCATGAAAGACAAAACTGTTAAGTAATGTCTCTACTGTTAGTTAAGTAATGTCTCTACTATGTGTAGATAGAACTATTTTCTTGGGGAATGCTGGTTTACTATGAGACCTGATAGGAAGCTTAAGAAGGCTGTAAGTTATCTAGCAGAAGACAAGCAATTTTTTCTCTACCTTTAAACTAACAGAATCAAAACCTACAATGGATACACAAAGTTAGGTAAGAGTCAGGTGACCATCAGTTTAGAAGGTCAGACAACAGTCAAAACCCAGAGTTTTAGGCAGCCTTTTATGGACACAGAAGAACACTTTCAAACATAACAGCTTCAGAGGACAGAAGAATACCAAATGAATGAAGGGATCCTTAATTAATGCCATGTGAAATCAAACTGTTGAAGAGAGACCAAGTGCTTTTGTGGACCTCACCCTGTTCCTACATAACTTTGGAAAAAGCAACAACTTTGAGGTAAAAAAATTGCATAGAGCCCACAAAACAACAATGGCTTTGGATTATATCCGTAAGATAATATGCCTCATTTAATCATATTCACATAGGAAAAAAAAGCATAATTTTCACAAGTATTCTACAGATAATATTTTCTCATAAGGAAATGGCAGATTAGCAAGTAATGTGAGACACTAATAGCAAATTTTTTTCCATCACTGATCTCCTTAAGTCCATTTAAGATATTTGTAATCTAAAATCTTCTGGAGAGAGAAAAGATATTCTTGAATTCTGCTCATGCAAATGTGCAATAATTTTGTTCCAAACATTTTTCTTCCAAGACTTCAAAAATATAACGAAGAAAAGACTGTAAAATACAATAATTTTGTTTAAAATTATTTCCATTTTCCTTCCACATTTTAATATTTTTCAATGTTTCAGCTACATTTCAGTCTGATTATCATTTCGTGTCTCTAAAAGGAACATTACCTAAGCAGAATCACATTAGCTGAGGTCAAGAAGCACAGATCAACTATCAGGATATGCTCTCTCACCATTCCAAGTAAGATTAATTTTAACTAGAACATAAAAAGTCTAGATATATCAGAGATATCAGTTATACTGAATATCTTCAGTGGCTGTACTACAGAAGACTCAACCATCTTTTCCCTGGCAAAACCTCAATTTTATTTTTGGCTTTTGTTTCCCATGGTGTCTGCTCTTGCCTGGATTACTAGCTCAAGTACATATACATTTTTTTAGTATGCATCAACTGACATTATAGTCACTCTGGGATCTGGTTGACTATATGGTCAAAGCCAACCCTTTTCACATGTGTTTCCATGTGTAATTCCTGGAGGGAGAGATGGAAAGAGGTTTCATCTAAAACTTCCCCCTCCCCACCCCCAATTTTAGGCATACAATTTTTCTTTCAGAAAAAGAAATATACTTTACTTTTATAGTCAGGTCTCCTTACCGTATCAGATATGGCCATAGCTTTATACCATGAAATCACACTTACCAAATACCATATAACATACTCCAACAAAAATATCATCTGTCTCTGTTATTTTGGACTGTAATGTTGAGTTACCAAAAGATGGGCCCATCTGAAAAACAAAACAGGACACAGCACAGCTTTACATGTTAAGCTTGAAGGCAACATGGGAAAAGTAAAAGGAGAACCTGGAGAAATTAAGTCATCTTCGCAAACAGCTAGAGCTCCCAGTTCACACAGCACGTAAACCCACTGTGGTTTAGCTAACTGCTGTATATCCACATTAAATGATTATCTTGCAGCTGCATTTCTTTCCTTGAGTGTAATAATGCACAGTATCTAAACTCAGCTTGTCCATCTTCCGTACAGTTTTCTATAATCTGGTTATTATCCCAGTGGTCCATCACCTTTTTCTACATAAAATCCTCTTTCCTCAGTCAGTGTAATCCAGGACACCTTCACTGAAACCAAACGGGCTACATGTTTGTTCACCAAGTGTTCACTCAGGAAGAAGTTTAAGACTCATGCAAAACACTAATAATAATTATATTTTAATCCTTTTACCAATATTTGTTGCATTCATTAAACAAAAACAGTAACAGCAAGATTTCACATCAAAAGACTCAGATCTAGCATTTTCCTGGTGGCCAGTGCTGCCAGCATGTGACTGCCCTCAAGAGACAGTAATAAAAATAGTAACAGGACACATCCATCTACCTTTCTCCTGAGGCAATCTATTCACAAGGAAAGGCTGAGCTCATTTTAGATGTTAGTGCTGGGTTTTTCAGTGCTCTCTCCTATGAAATGCAAATTTCATATTTGCTAGAAGGAAAACTATTCTACCCTAAAATCCGCAGTTCTTCAGATCATCATGAGTTCTGGAAAGCTACTTGAGCTCCTGGTTTTCCAAAGCAGTCTGCTGCCTTGTCAGAGGTTCACTTTCTTGGGTTTTATCTGTGTTGTCTTTGGAGTGAATTTTGGAGAATGAAATCCCATGTTGAGAAAAGGGAGTTTTATTCCAAGTGACCAGTGTTGGCTGGACTTAGGCAGAGGAGCATTTAAGCCACAACTTCCATATTTCAAGAGAATCTTTTAAACATGACAAAATTGGGCTTATGTCCCCAGAATATGCGGTGTCCGTCATCCAGAAAGTATACAATCATACTCCTAATTTGGCTTTGATGAGAGTGGTTCCCCCTTCCCTGAGTAGGTAAGAAACTTCTCACTCAGAAATCATAGAATCATAGAACCATAGAATAG